CTATCAAATTTTGATCCCGTGCACTTCCTTGATTAATACATCGGTTCATAAGTCTGGTTTTAATAACATGTAATTCTACATAGAGTTTGACAACCGATTCCATATACAGATAATACAGATATTACATGATAATCGACCCTTAAAAAATGTTTAATCTCCAAAATGCAACACTCGACTTTTACAAATGTACTATATTACAGTACAATTTAAATATATCTCAAGATTCCTTAACAAAACTAAACAAATCATGTTTACTTGTGCATATGTCTTTAAATCTTTATAACTTTGTTGTTAAGTTGTAAAAGAGAGGCACTTCTTATTTCACACACTATTGAATACCCCTCGTCTCTTGAGTTCATTTAAAGAGAAACAGGATGTGCACAAAATTTGATATTTTCAAAAGATAAGGCCAATTTAGCATTTTTAGCAGAAGAAAATTGCCAGAGACTTTGCATATATTACAAGCAGTTACTTGTACGGTGCCCCTTCGCACACGAATTGTTTTTGTTTTAACATTTACGTATATATAAAAGGGTCAACTTGTATAACTGTTTTTAAACAAAAGTGATGATCAATTTTATTGAAAGACTTTGAAATTTCTACATAGAGTATAAAAATATAATTATGAGGATTTTTAGAATTTTAAATCCCCAAAAATATGTCATTCATTGGAAAATGACGACGACTTTTGTTGATATAATCACAATCGAAAAAAATGTATAAAATGTATACTTATTTATTACCTTTACTTACTTACAAGATCTCTTTAACGAATCATTTTTAGACATCCACGATAGAAATGATGAAAAACTGATAAAACTTGTTATGGATAATTACCATCGAATGAAAAAAAAGGTTTTGTTTATTACTGATCTGGAGAGAAGGCCTGTCCGATTTATGTGTGTTTTAATGTTTTCTTTAAAAATGGTGGATAATTTGAAATATTCCACTGAAATTGAATTGATCATTGTTTTATCATAAAAATGTGTGGGAATTGAGCAATAGGTATGATAAGAGGATACAATTCATTTGTAACAGCGTAGAAAGTAATACACCAATATGGTTTAAGTCTTTATAGAGCTTCAAATTAAAGTTCTTTCACATTTAAAAAAATCAGAATTTGATTTATTGAACACGCATATTTGTGAGATTTGATACTGTAATCATTGTTACGAAAAACAACCCTGAACAGGCTTCAAGTTTTAAATGAAAAAGAAATTTAAAAATCTTCTAAAGATCTTGGATGAAAATGAGAATGTTAAGAATCTTATTCAGCTGTGTCAGCGCTATCAAATAAGCATATATCACTGTCAACGATAATTGGTATATTGCATTTAAAAATCAAGGTACATATACAAACCTTTGAAACCACTTACAAAAAAAAAACCCCAACAATAACATGAAACTTGCAAGATTGCGTAGTCTCATTTATATTGTGTCACTGTGTTCTTCTTTTGGATTGTATCATGTATATATTTTTAAAAATCTTTCATTTTTATTCTATAATTTTTTTAATTCATATTGCATATTTTTAGCTCACATGACAAACAACAAAGAATTCTTCAGTCACATATGATATTGATCTGAAATCATAACTGTGAATATTGGCGACATCAATCAACCAAACTTGTAAGAGATTTATTACGACCCGACACTACAAACCACACTTATAGTAGATATGTTTTTGCATAGAGAAGATTAATTTGATTTGAGTTATGCAAGTATTTGTAGAGTGTTTTGGCTATTAAAGAGCATCATCTGGGGTCACAGACATAAATCATGGTGTTCATTTTAGGTGAGACCTGATTATCTCGTCACCTATGTTCTTGTGTTTGCTGTAAGCTATGATTGGTTGAGAATTAAATAAAGTTTTGTGTTCTGGATTTCTAAGAATGGTGTTCCAATATTTCAGAATAATTTTAGCTCACCTGACAAACAACAAAGAACTGTTCAGTCACATTGATATGAAATTATAACTAAGGAACTGTAGATTCAAATTTGTTCAAATAATGACGCCTAGGAGTGTAGGGTAGGGCCACTATGGATGATCAAAGGTTTACTTTAGATTTTCTTGTCAAAAACAACAGAGTTATGTTTAGTCACATTGTAATAAAAGAAGCATCCTCATGCCATGTATATCAAATTTTGTTCAAATCATGACCACCAGGGTAGGGAGGATTCGCAACGAGGATTAAAGTTTAAGGGAAAACTTGATAAAAATCTTGACAATGTATAGAAGAGCACAGCCAGGATAAGTCATATAGATATGGAAGCATCCCCAAGTAGTGTGGGTTCAAGTTTGATCAATAATATCAAATTAGTTCAAATGAGGTCCCCAGAGGTAGGGCTGGACCACTAGGTTGTATCAAAGTTTTCCAAATGAATGAATAGTAAAAAGAAATTCTGCATAAGAACAACAAAGTCAATAATTAAAGTGATATGGAAGCATCCTCGGGAAGTTTAAAATTCAAGCCCTCCCATTCTCCTTTAATTTAAATTTTATGATACTGAACTGATTTGTGCTTTTTCCTAGCAAATGTGCTCAGGTGAGCTGTGTGGTCCATGAGCCTCTTGTTTCCATTTGTTCGGATGTTGCGTATGTTTTATTGATATTTAAAATTGTTGTTCTATAGAAAGCAAAGTATAGTAACGAAGTATAGAATACGAATAAGGAAAGAACAAATCATTTTAAAAATCATATAATGCAAATTAAATTGATGACAAAGGAGTTGATGGTCCAAGCATATTCAGCAGTCTCGTTTAAAGTCATTATTTCGTTAGTTCTATGGTCGATACAATGACCTTGTCAGCAAATACAATTTATCATTGAGTCAAATACTGACTGAAGTTTTTCATACTAACTGACGACGGATTTTCCGATGAATTTTTTTCCGTTATTTTCCGATCATGACGAGGAGAACACAGCCGGTGTGACCGGATGCTCGCTCCTTCATGGCACCTGATCCCACCTCTGATGTTTCGGAGGCCCGTGCTATGCTCTGCTCCTATTTTGTATTGTTTTCGGAATTTTTATCTTGAATACTGTCCGTTATCTCCATATGTTTCATATAATACAAGTGGAAATCATGTGTTACATATCGTAAAATTATAGAAAACAATGTTTAACGTGATATTGTCAATACAAATGAAGAATTATAGAACTCAAATGGAGAGAATCCTATATTGCAACATTTGACAAGCCACACAAAGAAGGCTTATCTTATTTGCATACATTCCATTACATTAGATGAATTTAATGTCAATTATAAATGTCATATATAATGCTTTTATAATCGATATGATAAATCAGCTGGGATATAAATCTCTCCTGCAAGCACATACCGGTATGTATGAGTAACAGTGAGGAATAATATCCCAAAGTATGAGCATAATTATCGTATTACATAACATATGATACTTTACATTTGATGCGAGAAGATTGACGCCTGCGTTTTAGCATTATTATGTACAGACAAGTGCTATTGATTTATAAAACAGACATTGGAAATAATATATTCTCGAATTTGCGGTAAAAAAGCAAAATACAGATATAAAGTAGTGAACAATTGCTTTGAAATAGTCAAAATTAAGTGAAGAAAATTCATTTGGAAAAAAAGTGGAAAATTAATTGTTTCATTTTCTGATAAATGATTATCAGTTGTTGATCATGAGTAAATTTAATTTATTGGAGAGCTGCGTGCTTGATATTAATGAAACAGTCTCTATATCTAGGTCGGATTCCCATGACAAAACTGAATAATTATACATATAAAAAATCAAAGTAAATATCAAAACTACATTTCTGTGTCATCTTCAGAGAGCATATCAAACAGAAAGTTCGTAGGCGAGCAAGTAAATGTTTAGATTTCTGATGGCAAAGTCCTGTACTTAGACGAGGTGGTGATGCGCAAACTTGTTTTCAATGCCCGAGATATTATCTCTTTCGCCGCCTATAAATTTTTACCCAAAACGGGTAAAATAAGCGCCTCAGAGTTACCTTGACCACATCTTATTGATGCATTAAAATTCTGAATTTGTAAAGACGGTGGAAAAAATCCACAAATCACGAAATTTTTGCTCAAAGGATTAATCAGGTTTCGCTGAATGATTCACTCAGCTATAAAATTTTTACCCTGCAGTATTCAGCAAGTTAAAAAAAAACACATGGATTTTTATATTTATCATTTTTGAAAATACTACCTACATTTTTTGTGCTTTAAAATATACTTTTGTCAATAGAACTTGTGATGAGAAATCCCGTGTTTTCACTGTGTCTGGTCGTAAGAATATAACTAAGATGATGGCCATAATGCCCTGCGCTGTATCGGAAGAAGAAGAAAAAGATCCGTGATTGAAATAGACCAATTTTAAATTTGTCGATACAATCGCTTCATTTTCAATATTGACGATAACATCTCTCGTGGGAAATCCCGGATAAGAATGACAGTAATCAACCATTGTTTAATTATTCAATATAACTAGAGTTTACCGTGGCCCTCTTTTGATAAAGCTCCGCATGTTCTCCATCTAGTCAAGGTACTTCATCTAGTTAAGTGCGTGGTTTGGAAAAAGGGGATAAATAAATAAAAATATTAGCCCGGATATTTTAAAATCCAACTAAATGACAATGTCAATACAACAGAAATGATGACCATGTCAATAGACTAATGGCTGGGTTATGACTCTGCTAAGCTTTCAGAATTATGTAACTTTATTCTAGATTTAAGCTTTTTTTTTTTGGTATTGTGAATTGAAGGCGATACTACCTGAATATCATTTATTTGTAAACTAAAAAAAATAAGAAAGGAAGGGAAAATGTTTTTCCTTTTTAAAATTGAGATAATCTACCAAACTTTTTTTTCCATTTTATATGTATCAAATTTGAACTTTTTAAAAACTTAATAAAAAAACGTACATATTCGAGCTATCGTGTTATACATTCGAACTATTATATCACAAATTCTTGTAAAATTAAAATAATGTATATATAAATAACTTACCAGTACTAAAAGATGCACAAAAGTAAAAAAGTAAAATTCCTTTGAAACTATAATCCATTCTTAAGGAAGTGTATCGTTTCCATTCTTAAGGAAGTGTATCGTTTTGAAATTATGGCTGAGATTTTAAATGTAGAATGTCTATTTCATTACTGTAGAGAGGGTGACAAGGGAAATGACTCGGTTCAATGAAGCAGATCCGGGATCCCGTTATGGCCGCTGTCTTTTAAATCGACACAACTAATTCTCGAGTACTGTCTATCACCCAATAGTTTAATGTACTATACGCGCTCATGGTTGTATTGTAATTTGACGATTGTCGTCCTGAATTTCCGTTTACCTTCGGGATAAACTTTGAATTGCTCTCATTAGGTATTCTAAATAAACAGTGTGCAATAACAGTTGATAACATTGTATTCTAATAGTAGATAGAACCCGAGGAAAATCCATGCATTGTAATTTTGTTTTTCAAAAAAAGTCGACACATATGTAAATGGAGTCCTTTTATTAAACGAGTTTGTTTTAAGACTCTTATTAATAAAGAATGCGAGTACTAGTAACTCAAATATAATAGACTTTGCTCAATTTTAAATTCTAAGTGTGCCGATCACTTTCAACCAAATTTTTTGTTGTTATATATATTAAAAGTCAAAATTAGGTTGTTTTTTTCCTACTGTAAGTACAACATCTTTTGGAAAACATCACAAAGCAACGCTATAAAATTATAATGACGTGTAACAGAATTAAAAAAAAAATGTTTTTAAAGTAATATTGGAAATTTTTTCCATAATAATTTTTAATCGAATTCGCCTTAGTCGACAAAAGCTTTCCCTGGAAAACTACATGTTGCCCTAAAAATGTAATATTTTCAACCAAGTTTACAAAGGAAGAATCCGCTTGTTGAAATGGTTAAAAATGGCGTTTTGTCAGGTACAGCCAAAAAAGTACCCCTTTTATCCGGGTAACTAAAGTTTTCAAGCCAGGACTTAACTTTTTTGTTTTACAGAGCAATTGTAAATATATCAGAGATAGGTAATGGTAATAGGCCGAAACCTGTCCATCTATGGGAAGAAAGGACAATTCTTTCTTCTCAAAGACTGGACAGTTTGAATTAGCTCCCATTTGCTGTGGCCTTCAACTCAACATTTAAATATATAGACAAAGTATTACGTGTATCAATTAACAATTATATTTACTTTCATTCATATGTCAATATATATACCAATGAACCTGAAATGAAAGACACCACAGAGTCTGCTACATCTGTCTCAGATTTGGATGTTTTACTGATTATAGACCATAAATTAATGGCTATCTAATCTAACGCATAACTGTACGGCAATGAAACGAGATTTGATTTCAATTTTTCCATCGTCAGCTTTCCTTATGTAGGAACAACACGTTACAGTTGAATCAACTGTATAAAGTGCTTACATGATGCTTAAGAGTATGCTCCAAGTACGATCAATTTTTAAGGGGGCCGACTGTATATAGTTTCCACTGCGCAATATTTCGCGCATCATAGTAAAATGAAGGGTATTTACTGTTTTAGAGCAACTTTTTTCACTTAATAAAATTAAACAAAATTAAAAAATTACAGGTTCAAAAATGTAATATCAATTTTATATAACGGAATTTTTAACCAATTTTGCAACTGATAGGTAGGTTGACGTCGCTATCGTGTGTTTTTGACGTTATGATAAACTGAAGCTCTTAAAGAAAGGGGTAATAAAAATGTTATTAAATAAAAAGTAATAAACATACGCTCTTTAAATTTAAAACATAGAAATTTGAGAATTTGCCCATTATTCTTATAATTTTTTCAAATAATACGATTGTTTCCGCCATATTTTGTAGCATTCTATAAAAACAGAAAAACTCGTTAATTTTTGGCCTTTTGAGATGCCCCCTCTGGTAATAAGGCGGTAGAATTTTGTGTTTCTTACAAATAATGTACAATATAGTATTACTCATAATTTATTATAGTTTGAACAAAAAGTCTATTGTAGTATATGTATAATTTGCTTTAAAGTGCTAAATTTGGCACTTTCCTATACAATCCTATAGTAAATGTACCTATATTTTGAGAAGGTCCCTTGAAATACCTGGACGGTAGATTTCGCCCAAACTTTGCATGTACACTAGATTTAACGTAAGTTATATATGGTATAAAAGTGAAGAATTTTGCTATCGTAGTTTTCACACAATAAAACCATAGTCGGTAAGTTTCTTTATCGACAATTTAGAACGGCAATACTCATGCCGGGATTGGGGAATGTGAAATCCCGGAGGGACCCTTTGAAGAATTGCGTTCCTTTTTGAGTAAGCAGTACAAGAACCTGTCAAAAGATTGCAAGGCCGAGGTATGTATATTTACATGTATTTCAAAAGAGTCTGAGGCACCAATGTCAAAGAGGAGGACAAAACAAGCCAAGGAAAGGAGATCAAAGACGATGTCTGTAGGACGTGGTAAAGATGAGGAAATAGGACTCAACCCTGTCAAGGAATGCAAGAAGAGAGGCAAGCAATGGCTGACTTGTTATCGCTTAACGTAAGTAAATTTCGAAATAATTTACACTGATTACCTAGATTTTAATTTTGTTTTGTTTCACAAATATTAAATGTAAGTAATTTTAGTTTCCCTCTTTATGTGAAACAAATGAGAATGAAGTTATTATTGATCCCTACATTATTATGATAATAAAATTTTTTTTTCATAGATATATAATAGATCGACCAGAAAGGCTTAAGACGCATATGCAGAAATGTAAGGCGGGACCGAAGGAAAAGCAGGGCTCGGAGAGAGATGCCTTCATTGAGCAATCCCTCTGTGATGTTCGGTCAGCAACCATGAATATGACCGAACATCTCTTTGTTAAACCGGACGAAATATTAGATAAAAATTATAGGAAAGAAGAGGTGATTTAGATCATTTCGGCGGTACGGTCATCTGCAAATACAAGTACCAAAAGAGGCGCGAAAAACGGTCAGGGGAAAACGAAGCAAAATGATCAAAACAGAATTTGATCAACCTACACAAGACGCATCACCCTATACTCCGAGAGACTTTGATATGGATAGGGAAATTTTGTAATTCTTGGATGTTTCTATCTAGTCTGAAATGGCCTCTTTTGACCACAAATAAGTTTAATTAATGACATGAAAGGTACAGAGAATATATATTTCTAAAACATTTATTTTTATGTTTCAGACTACGGTTTAGATCGAGTAACAGCTGTGAATGTGGTGCGACATTCTTCGCCGCACTGCTAAAAAGGAGTTGAATGAAATCGAAAAAAGGAAGAAATTTTATAGAGAAAACACAGCCCTACTCAACAGGTACATAGCTTGTGAGATTTGTTTGCGTCAAGCGCATCGGCCAGCAGTGGCACAGAACTGGAAAATGCAGACCTACTGTAAAGCACTCTCAAGTGAGGAAAACAATATACAGAGAACACTCTGTGAAGTTTTGCTCCTCATATATACTGTTGGAACAGCATAGTTATGGTTCAACAGCAGGCAATACAAACAATAAGGAAGACCCAACCCCAAGGAAGCTAATTAAGAGAACCGCTTCGGACAATGCAGAAAAAGTTACCTTGTCCTTGAGGTTTGCCCTCTTTTGTGATCTATGCTATTTTATAACACATAATTTCAATTTTGTAAGATTTTCGCTTTGAATACCAATTTTCTCGATCAAAATGATTTCAAAATATTATTTTTCAAAGGACCGAAAAAAATCTATTTTGTAAATTTACATTACATCTGTTTCGTATTATGTATAGGGTCATATCATTTTATTAAATGTAGTGGTAAACATTTCATAAATGTCTTTCATATATAAATATCTTTCATCTCAGTTTTTTCATCAACAGTTGACAAGCAGAAAATTACCCAAAATATTCTCTTCAATATAAGGTTTATTACATGGTGGACACAACTGAGTTTGGGCGTTAATCTATCATTGTCATACAGAGACAGACGAATGAAAGAAGATTGTCTGTCTTGAACTCTTCCTGCTCCCCACAGAAGACATGGTAGAAGTTTTTTTGCCATTTTTAAATAAAACAATAGTTACTAGTATTCTATATCACTCACAAGTTACAAAATGATATGGATTTAAAAATACACAGATGAAAGAAGTTACAATATAACAGCAAACGAGCGAGCTTATGAAGTCAACCGGTTAGAATACTCAGTATCCTCCCCTTTTAGCCATATATGATACTGATCAAAACACAGCAATAAAAAAACTAGAGAAATTTATCATATCCAGGTATATTGTTTTTGTCCTGTCTGTCTGTCTGTCTGTCTGTCTATTTGTCTCTCTGTCTGTCTGTTGTCAACTTTAACCTACTAGCCTATAACTGATGAGTGGATGGGGCTATTGCTTTCATATTTCACAGGTGTATTCCTTGTGACAAGACCTTTCTTTGGGTATCATTAAATGTGACCTTTTAATTTTGATCTCGGAGTTTGACCTGCTTAAAAAATACAACACTTGAACCTTGGCATAAACCTTTGAGTAGTTGGAGCTAGGGCTTTCATCCTTCATATGTATTTCATTGTGACAAGACCTTTCAGCTGATATAAATATTTTTGACCTTGACCTACATGTAAGAATTTGACCCAATTTTTAAATACTTTAACCTTGATACAACTTTAAAAGAGTAAGAACTTGGGCTTTCATATTTCACAGGTGCATTTCTTATAACAAGACCTTCCTTTGGGTATTAACATTTTGACCTTGACCTTTGGAGTTTAACATGTTCAACCCTCGCCATAAGCTGCCATACAGGGGCATCAATGTTTCACAAACACATCTTGTTACTTTTATCTTAGACTTTGACGCATTTTTTCAAAGTTTTGCAAACATCTTACTTTGGTCGTAACGTTTGAGCGATTACTTCTAAGGCTTTTATTCTAGTCCATGTGTATTTCACATGGTTACTCAATGTGACCAGAATTTTTGTTGAGTTTACCTTTGAAACATGGAGTTTGATTCACTTTTGTGTAACTTTTTCCCTGACACAAGTTTTGTTATTGGGTTTTCATATATTTACTGTGTATTTCTTA